GTATGAAGAAGGCCAAATTACTTCATGTAAACAGTTTCTCGTATAATGCCTGTACTTCGTGCTTTTAATCAATTTATTCCTTTTCAATGTTCTCTGTACCTCTCGGATCCCGAAGTATGTTGTTTCAGTAGCTTTTTTAAACGGTCCTGGTTCTGTGCCAGTTTGATAAGCTCCTGGGTTCGATTCCAAGGTATGATCGTGTGACTTCTGTATGACCTAGCCATCAGGTCTGTTTTTTGACCCTGCTCGTTTTTTTATTCGGCTTTACGAAGAGAGTCTGTTTTGCAAGTTCTTTTTCTCGCATCCCGATCGCATACTTAAACCATGGCAGTTGGAATTTTACAATCTGGTAAAGTAGCTGATCACAAACAAGGGCACCTCGTTGAGAGTCACGCTTCACGCTAACAGCTACACCTCATTTCTGCCGCTTGTATAGGGAGTCGCACTATACAGAAAATTGGTGTGGTTAAGATCAAGGCCCTAGAAAAACATAGTATCTTGCGAATAATCGAGTTTATCGGACATTTTCAAACGTTTATGTTTGTTCGTAACGCTAAGGAAGTTATCAATTTGATGTCTTGCCTGGGGGATTAGCTGATTTTCAATTTGTTTGTTAAAATTTAAGAAATCGTTTAATTGCATTCGATTCATTTACTGTCATCTTTTTGAATTTCATTTATAGGAGTATAACAGGTATCTTAAATTCATTCGGATTTGGCTATCGAAAGCCGCACAGCGTTGCCACATCCAACATTGCATTGTTTTAATTAGTTTGTTTTTTATAGACATGATTGGTATGGATATCTCACTTCTGTTAGCGATGCTAAAAAGTCATCGCTGTTGCTCAACTGTTTGATCCCAGGTACGTGCTTGTTTATGACAGTTTCGCATTCCTACCGTGATTTTTGTTAGGTGTCGACTCTGTTTCATGGTTGGGACCCTTGAACGAATTGGTTCTCCGGCCTCATGACTGTAAAAACGTTTTCCCCATATCTCAAGAAAAAAAGCCATGCTATGCAACGAATGTGCCGTGTTGGCTAAGTTCTTCTGGCCTACAAGTGAATTATTTCATTCTTTACTAATATTTAATGGATTAATAAATCAGCGGGTAAATATCTCTGGACAAAAAAGAACCTTCGACCATCCCCACAGTAAAATTCACGAAAGGTGTAACAAACATGTAGCTGAACTTATTTCCAAGGATTCCCAGTTTGATGCCGATCAATATGCAGTCGGTCGATATGTTGGCCAAATGTATAGTTTTAATTTTATTGCCTCTTATTTTTCTTGCAGTGGCATCAGAAGCGAAAATGGTCTGTATTACTTCACGACACGGAGTCAGTAATTTTCGAAATTTAGGGATAAAAGTTTTAGATTGTTTTTTGTCAGAATGCTAGATATATGATCAATTGCGTTTGAAATTGTTCCTGGGTCCAGAAGTGAATGAGTCTTGAATTTTTGGAACCGGACATGTCTTCTGATGCTATTGTTCATAGCAGCAATGCGTTGTCGTGGTGGTCGATGAACCTTTACTAAATCAAGCCGGTAACAAGTCTTAACATTCGGCCAAGTAAGACGTAACTATGTCGTAATTCATGTGACATTTCTATGGCTTAGAGCCAGTTATTTTCCTCTTCAGTTAAGAACAAACCTATCGCCAGTCAGATCCTTGTTTAACTAGCCTAGTACGGTTTATAGTTAATTTTCTATTTCCAAATGATTACTGTCGCAAATTTGAGTGAAAGGTAAAATCTGTGATGAACGAAAAATCTATTTGTTGTTATGATTCGTCTAACCGTATGGTCAGAAGAGGTATCCACTACCAGTTATCCACGGCACGTATCTGTATGAGTTTAAGAAGTTCTTTCTTGAACTTCTTGATTCGTGGTTTCAGCCTAATTGGAGTTAATACAGACAGAATAAAGACCTTCTGCAGATCATTGTAGCGTTTTTTATATCCCGTAATAATGGCAAAGAAAAGAGAGTTTTTGTTTAGGTT